GGCACCTCAACATTTGCAGAAATTCTCGAAGAATTAATCAGAGGCCATTTCAACACATCCGGGGCAACATTGGCCATCCGGTGGTCACCGAACCGGTTTCGGGAATCCCGAAATACTGGCTAATTAATTATTTTCATAGGTCCAATTCGTACATACCTTACCAATCAGGCTAAGGCCTTGTTGTCCTCTGCTGTCCAAAGAAGTCGTCTCCACTCTACTCGATCCATGGCCACAGTTCGCCAGCCTCGTAGTCTGCGAAGGGTCCGCAGGTCACCTTCTACTTGGTCGATCCACCTTGACCGCTGCGCGCCTCTTCTTCTTGTTCCTGTTGGGTCGCTTTCTAGAACCATTTTCACTGGGTCGTCGTGCGGCATTCTTACGACGTGCCCAGCCCACCGTAGTCGCCCATTTTTTGCAATATGAACGATGGATGGTTCTCCCAGCAGCTGGTGCAATTCGTGGTTCATTCGCCTCCTTCACGTTCCGTCATCCATCTGCACTTCACCGTAGATGGTACGCAACACCTTTCGTTCGAAAACACCAAGGGTGCGTTGGTCCTCCACGAGCATAGTCCAGGTCTCGTGGCCGTAAAGGACCACCGGTCTAATCAGCGTCTTGTAGACAGTCAACTTCGTGCGGCGGCGAATTTTATTCGACCAGAGCGTCCTCCGGAGTCCAAAGTAGGCACGATTCCCTGCCATAATGCGTCTTTGAATAATTGAATTTCTCTGCTGGTATCATTTTCGGCGGTCACCAGTGAGCCCAAATACATGAACTCATCGACCACCTCGATTTCGTCACCGTCAATCTGAACTCGGGGTGGGAGTTCCAATTCGTGCGACACCACAAAATTCTCAGAATTTCATGAAGAATTCATTAGAGGCCATGTCAACATATCTGGGCCAAAATTGGTGATCTGGTGGTCCCGGAACCGGTTCCGCAGACACCGTAAAAGTGGTCAATTTATCACTTCCATAGAACCAAGCCGTGTGGCACTTCAAAATTTGCAGAATATCATCGATAATTCATCAGAGACTATGTCAACTGTCTACAGCAAATTTTGAGAGGAACTAGTCAAGTGCTAAAAATCTCAATAATTAAGTTATTGAAAAAAATAAATGTCTAAAGCAATATTAGTCCCCTGGTGGTCCCGAAACACTTTCAAGAGACACTGTAAATGTGGTTAATTTATCACTTCCGTAGAACTAAGCCATGTGGCACCTCAAAATTTGCAGAGTTTCTCGAATAATTAATCATGGACCATTTCAACATGTCTGCGGCAACATTTGTCATCCGGTGGTCACGGAACCGGTTTCGGAAATTCCGAAAAGGTGGTCAATTTGTAATTTTCATAGGTCCAATTCGTGTGGCACTTCAAAATTCGCAGAATTTTAAGAATAATTCATCAGAGACTATGTCAACCATCTAATTCAGCATTGGCCACCGGGTGGTCACGGAACTGGTTCCGGGAATCCCGAAAAAGTGGCTAATTTATAATTTTCATATGTCCAATTCGTGCGACACTTCAAAATTCGCAGAATTTTAAGAATAATTCATCAGACATGGCCGGGGCAATATTGGCCAGCCGGTGGTCCTGGAACAGGTTCCGTAAACCCCGGACAGTTGGCCAATTTATACTTTTGATAGAACCATCTCATGAGACACCTCAAAATTCACAGAATTTCATAAAGAATTCATCAGAGACTATGTCATGTCAACCATCTAATTCAGCTTTAGCCATCCGTTGGTCCCGGAACAGGTTCCGGCAGCCCCGAAAATGTGGTCAATTTATCATTTACATAGAATCAAGTCGTGCAGCACATCCCACCAGAGCTAAGGGGGTCTCAGTCGGTAAAGGCGCAGCTACAAAGCAGGATATTCTGGAGGTGGCTGGACTCGACTTCCCTGGGCATAGAGTTTTTGACTTCCCTGGGTATGGAGTATTTATGATTGTACTTGCCACATAATTATACTAATGCAAAAATGCTACAGGCATCGGAAGTTCTCAATTGGGTTAGAAGGAAAGGGGTGTAAGTGACTTTGATCGATTCTCTTCATCGACTTTCTCTTTCGTCAATAATGCAGCTACAAACACATTCCTTGATTCGTGCGCCATTCTGGATGCTAGATGAGAACCTCCTTCATCAAACTTGTGGCAGAAATTGCGCAAAATCTGTTTATAAAGCTGTGGCTATCAAAAGAGAAAGTCAATGAAGAGAATCGATCCAAGTCACTTACACCCGTCTCCTTCTAACCCCCTCAATTAATAACAGTGAAAGTACATCTAGAACACTAAGTTGAGAGTACGCAATAAGCTAATATGCGATAAGCAATAAACTTGAAATGCGAAGAAAAAGAAGAAGAAAAAACTACAAAGGACAGCCCTATGGGATTGTACGCAATGTTGACGTAGGCCTACGTGGTCTTATATAATAAATCTTATTTGTTAACTGCAGCAGTAGCTTGTGTGTTTTGAGGAAATAGGAATTTGAGCGAGGTTCTCTCTGTTTATACTCTTTAGTATGACGCGTTTGACATAGTGGCCTACACTGCTTGTGTACTGGAGAACACCACCACTCACCAAGCGGTTATTGAAAAATCACCGTTTGGTGAGACCGGATGGAATTCAACTTTGAAATCTGTGTTAGGGAATCCGCTTTTCGCAGGCAATCGGTGATAAGTTTGACTATCATAGGAACAGTTGCACATTCATGCATATTTCAATAGTGACATTTTTAAAAATAATAAAGTCTTAAATTTAACAGATACGTAGAAAAATTTCCGATCGATTGGTGATAAAATTATTGAAATTGGTCCAGGGGCAGCTGAGTTGTTAACGTTCAAAATCTTTCATAATTTTGTTACATGTTCCAGTTTCGGTTTTCACAAAGTGTACCCCCATATAGATATCACAGACGTAGTCCTACGTCAAAAGAAGAAGAAGAAGAAGAATTCATCAGAGGATATGCAGCATTTGCAGATGCTGCATCTGAATTTCTTTTATTGCTCTAAATGAACCTTACCTTACCAATCAGGCTAAGGTCTACTCGATCCATGTCGCCACACGTCACCAGCCTCGTAGTCTGCGAAGGGCCTGTAGGTCGCCTTCTACTTAGTCGATCCACCTCAATGTTGGGTCACGGCGTTCGACTTCGACGGGTGTTATGACCGAGAGATTTGAGAGTATGCATACTGCAACTAAGTAGTGGTCCGAATATATGTTCGCACTCAGGTACTTGCCGACGTTCGTAATGGCGTGATCGATTTGGTTTTCTGTGTGTTGGACAGGTTATCTCCAGGTGGCTTTGTAGATATCCTTACGGGAGAAAAAGGTACTTCGGACTACCATACCATACTTCATGCATCGTTGGCCGTTTTCGTTCGATGCAGCATGCAGGCTATCGTAGCCCTTGAAGCCGAGCGATTTGCAGTTCCATGTTCCGAGTTTCCAATCGTAGTCCGCGTAGGTCTGTGCTGATTGTTCCGATCCGTATTTCTTTCTTCGGTATTCGCAACTTTATATTGTTTCCAGGGCGGCTTGTTAGGCTATCGTGCGCAGCTCTGTTAAAAATCCCACACTGGCATTTAGAGCGAATTTAGATCGATATTTCTTGCGTCACTTTTCAATAGGTCCTATCTACATTGATCGATTGTCTCTTTTCTTAATAACTTGACTGCATTCATATTTGGGACAAATTTTTCTACATAGTCTGTTAAAAGAAAGTATTATTAAGCGTATTGGACGATAAGAACAGCTGAACATGTTTTTGGAGCCGAGTTATTAACGAAAGAGAGAGTCTATGAAGAGAATCGATCAATGTGTAGATTGGTCTATTTGAAAAGTGACGCGAGATTTCTGCGCCCTGTATATATTTATTAATAATAATAATAATAATAATAATCGGTTTTCGGAGCTGGTTACTCATGGAGCAACCATCAGAAATCAGCATGACAGGCCTGGTTGCTACATCCTACAAACGGAATTTGATTGAAACAAAGCTAACAACACCGTTTTTGTTTATTATACGACCATCTCGAACCTTCACTAAACCACAGCCGCACCTGGTGCAAATATTGACTATTCGACCTAAACAACACCACTTAAGCTGAGAAGTGGAGTATATAACTAGAACCACACGCAGCCTGTTGTAGGTGACTTTTGCGTTTACTTGTTGCTACTACATTAAGAGGCTGTCCATAAACCACATCGACAGTTTAAAGGTGGGGAGGGGGTCACCGAATTTCCACGGTCTATAACAATTTTCAAACATGTATATGTGCAAATCTCTTCAAATCTGTTCACGTGGAATATGGACAACCCCTTATTCGTCGTCTATCTCGGTTGTGGACAGACGGCCACCACACTATCATCATGATCATCGATCGGTTAATTGCGTTTCGCCCTATAAAGGTGTGCAGTATTACCCTAGCAAACAACAAACCCGCGGTGAGGGGGGACAACAGTGGGAATTTTCCTCTTTCTGTTCTTGCCTTTCAATCACACTAAGCTAAAAGCTACAAATCAGAAAGCAATCCGACGAACAACCGAACGTCGTCAGGAGAAGAATATTAAGTGATTGCGTCAGCGCTTGCTTCGCGTTCGAGTCGCAGCAGAAATGTCACGTAATTTATGGCAGAACGCCCCTCATCGATCGATCGCGCCATCCTGCCAGAGCCAGAGGAGATAGAGATTCAAACGAGACAAGCTGGAACCGAAACGAAATGCACTCAGCTGGCCATGCAGTGCGGAGAATGATGCATCGCCTTACGCACACTCAATATGTGTGAGCATCGGAGCACACACACAGTAGGCTGGTTTGTGGTCGGTCAGTGGTGCGCGGCGAGGGAAAAGACTTCAACGAGCTTTCAAGCGACAAACTTTCTTCCACACTTTTTGTTCCGCGCGCGCGTTTTCTTGGGTTGCTTCGATTCGTCGTGAATGAAAAAAAAAAAACAAGTCAAGAAGAATGACACTTGTTCTGCTTCCTTTGTATGCGCAGGTTGCTTTGTTGGAAGGCGAACATGGGCGGTTGGCCACTGCTGTTGTTGACTACTCTGATGCTCGTTGGAGTAGTCTGTGGAAATCGTGAGCATAAGGTGCGAATCAATTAGCATTGGCAATCGATTGTGATAAAACTCGATTATTATTCGTTTTAGGTTCACAACATTGTGTTGTACCCGGACAAGCACTCGTGGTGTTCGACGAGGAACATCAGCCAGGTGATCAGTTACCCGGGATGCAAACAGGTGACGATCGATAACAATGTTTGCGTGGGAGCTTGCTTCAGTTACTCGATTCCCCATACCGAGCCATCCGATCCTGGCGAAGTGATTGGGCCATACTGTGACAGTTGTCAACCGTCGGAGACTTCATGGCATCATGTATGGTTGATTATCATCAATTAGTATCGTCTATTTTTCGACAATAACAATCTTGTTTTCTTTTCAGGTGACTTTGGATTGTTCGGAAAATTCCAGTAACAATGGTGACGAAGAGTCAAAGCCTTCGGTTTTGGTGAAACGAGTCCAGATAATCAAAAATTGTTCGTGCACATCCTGTGAGAAGCAGACTCACAAAAAGCACCATCACCATCATCAGGAGGAGCAACAGGTCACTCAGGTGTCCTCTACCACAGCATCCTTAATCCAGAACGACATTCCCGAACTGCTGGAAGTGGTTCCGTACAGTGAGAACGATACTGAACCAATCCACCATTCACCGATCCACTCGCATCAGAGTGGAACCCATGGCACGACCTACATGCAGCAGCATCAACTCAACCACTACGAGCACAACAGTCACACCGAGAATGTCAAGAAGCTACTTCACCAAAAAATCACCGGCCTTCTCAAGAGCATCGAGGAAACCAACTCCAAACATGACCGCGAGCAGTTGGTCGAAATGATCAAGCTCATCAAAGGTTCGAGCGATCGCAACTGGGATGACCTGGTGGAATCCCTCCAATCCGAGAACGCCATCCTGGATTTCGATCGGCTCCGAGCGGAGCTCGAGACGGAAGAAGATCCTCAAATCCACGTCCAACCCAAATCATCTGAACATGAAGATCACGAACGGCTGCTGAAGCATCAGTTCGACATCCTGAACCACCACCCTCACCACCATCCCCATCAGCATCACGCAGGGGACAAACTGGACGAACACCATCACCTGCAACGGGGTCCCCATGGTTCGTTGGTCATCACCTCCGACGAGCACGAAATCAAGGAGAAGATCAACATTCACTCACACGAGCTGAAACCGAACCACGCGGGAGCGATTCTAACCTACGACAACCATCACAGCGAGCACGCTAGAAACCATCGCCATGGGGCGGACGGAGCTGCCACTGATCATAGCAACGTTGGTCAGGAGCAAAACTGAGGCCGCCTACCCCGATGGGGCGGGGGTGGAAAAATTATATTTGTTTTTAAGCTTCTAGTCGTTAGTGATTTTTTGTTTCCTTTTTCAAATTTAGCTTCCCTCCCTGATCGAACAATTTTTGATCGATTGTCTTGCTATATATTTGCGCCGGTTTCACATTGAATCGCCACCCAAGCGTGCGTGGCAATAGTTTTTTTTTTTGAATATTTTATCTGTGAACAAATGTGTTTTTTATTTAACCACCAAACACACACACACGCCCAAATTGTATTAGGTAATATCTTTCGTTTAAGTTAATATTTATTTTTTTTTCTGTTGGAAAGCTGGTCTCTAGACAGAAATGGAAGTGAGAAAAGTACGGATTTTTTTCAAACGCTAAATTGTTCTTCTGAGAAAACCAATACCACCAACCACCACACCACCACCATACACTGAAGATCTTCGAACGGGTGTCATTCGTTGGGATGCCTTCAGTAGTTTTGTTTTAGTTATGTTTGAAAGTAGTTGAAACGAGTGATCGTCAAAATTAATTGAATAAATTGCTGAAATAAAGTTGAGTATATTTAACATATTTATGGTGGTAAGCTCCAACCGGTATTATCCTCGGAATAAATCCCTTTCGAGAATGTCCGGCTGCTTCGATGCTGACATCAGTGTTAATTAACACGACTCTAAGCCAACTTTTTCCAGGTCATCCAAACAGGGTCGGTATTAAAAGTTAATTCGAGTTGGAGCTTACTGCCATTAGAGTTTTGTTTGTACTATTATAGTTAGGGAAGCTGCAATTGGCTAGCGGTTTGATTTGTAGAAAGTTATGAGAAGTTCTGGTTGGTTATGCTTTTGGAGAAAAAAAGAACAATTGTCAGATCGGGATCGGCTTGCAACGTATTGTGAATTTTCAGAGTTAACCTTTCCATGCTACTTTCTGCATTATCGTACCGTACCGTGAAATAACCATACGTTAATCGGACAAAATCGTGGACAAAGTATTGCATCCAACATTGCCAAGACTGCAAAATATAAACATAGAGGCATATTCTGCGCCGCGACTTTTATCTTTTTAACCTGGAGGTTTGAATTTTGCTTGCGTGTTTTCTTTTGTGATTTTTATATTTAAAAATATGTTAAGTCTCTTGCAAATATGTGTTTTTTTTTTCTATTGGAAGTATTGCATCTGAAAGTGGATTAAAAGTGCAGTTCATCGAAAGCAGTTTGAGCTGATTGGTAACGAAGAAAGGGGATCATTGTCAAGTGGGCCAACATCCTGAGGTTCATAGTGACACTGAGCAATGGCGGTGTGTTTATCCCGATGCACTTCTTCCCAGCAAGGGGAAACGGATTTTCTTATTTTCAAGATCAAGGAGATGATGATTCATTTGGGAGAACAATTGATCTTAAGCTTAGGAATCATAAGGAGGCCGATTAATTACAGATCATTCGGATGAGACCCATCCTTTTTAATAGTTAACATTACATTTCAACCCGTATTCATAGAAACTTACTTACTTACAACATAATGTCCCAAAATTGATGAGGTTGGCTAGCATGACAAATGCCAGCTCGATCAACGAATTACTCCGTTACAAACGCAACGCATCACATTTTTTTAAACTGCTTTTAAAAAATGTCTTTTTTTTAAATTGTCTTAAGCTTGATACTTTTTCGACTAATGTTTCCATTTCCTCGCTGTTTTTGGCTACCAAGAGTTCGAGAAACAGCTGGTGGCACATCCAGGTAATTCCTACAATCGGGAAATACAACCCAACTAACAATTTTCGCAATGTAAACGCTTTATTAATTTTATTTATACAGCCTTAAGCTGTATTCAAATGTTATACGATATGAGGAAACCTTTACTCAACCTCTATACAAGCAAATCTGGCGAACTTAGTCAGCTACTTTTGCATTATCCATTTGCGCTTTTATACAGCTACAGTTTATACAGTTAACCTTCTGTTTAGTTGTGTGTGAACTAGAAAGGCGCTTATTCAACCTTTTCCCGGTTGGATAATCACTACCTGATTGTCAAGTCCCGTTTAAGGTCTGTTCCTGAGCCTTTTGCAGTCATCCTAACCCCTCTATATTTATCACATTGATGTGAGCAACGACGAAATGCTTGATTGTTGTTCCCGTGCTTGAGATGAACTCATAAGTTTCTCAAATAGCACCACCAAAAGTAGCAAAAGGAGAAATCGACTTCGAATAACAGTCAATTTAAATGGCTAGAGTCGGTGTATGAGTCGGCAGTCGGAGCCGATCAATACCACCTGTACGCAAAAAGCATACACCGATTCTACCGCCGTTGGGACATCCCTGCCCTGGGTGGGCGGAACACCTCCACCTGCCCTTGGTGGGGCTCTGTCTTATTCTAGACGCAACGAGCCGTCAAGTACGGATCCCACGGTCTACGAAACCAACGACACCAGTCGTGTGAACGTATCTAGCATAACGACACCGTAGATGAAAAACCTCCACCTTGGGCTTGGTCAAAATCGACACATACCTTAGCCATCGAACCGGAGCCAAGCAGGGTTACCTGCTCACAACCAGCCAATATTTCCGCCAACGAGATCACTTATCCGCAAACCTGCCAAAACATCCATTCTCCCGTTGGATCACCCCTGCCTTGGATGGGTGGAATTTTTCATTCGGTCTGCTGCTCGAGCCCACCGGTGGCTCTTCCCGATGTGCCATCTTCGCATTTGTTGGATGGAACGCCTCCACTTATCCTTGGCGGAGCTCTGACGGACACGGTCTCGGCCGACGAAATCAACGCCACCAGTCGTACGAACGTACCTAGCATCTGCGACACCGTAGATGGAATGCCTACACCTCTTCTCAACGCTGTTAGGCCCTACTCGACATGCAGTGAGTCTACTATCTCGTACCCCACACCTGCACTGCCCAAGCCGGTGAACGTTGTTCTCCAGTGGAATGTAAACGGATTCCTTGGCCGCCTAGGGAAATTGGAGCTCCTTTGCCAAAGCGATGTCCCCTGGATAATCGCTCTACAATAAAGGTCAATAAAGTTACAACCGACCAACTCAATCGTTTGCTGGGAGGGAGATACGATTGGAGCTACAAGAGCTGCGGCAACTTCAGGCACTTCGTAGCCATCGGGGTGCTTAGGAGCATTCCACACCAAGTTCTTGACCTCCAAACCGACCGCAAGAACGCCGCTAACTTAGCTATCGGCCAACTTAGATGGAGACTTAAGTGCAGCTATTTCCAAGCTTCCGGAAACGCGGTTCATTGTCGGCGACTTCAATGAGCACCATCCGGAATGGGGCAGCCCTCGCCCAGACCCCAGAGGTTCTAACCTGGCGAACATCTTCGAGAGTGAGGACCTGGTGGTGCTGAACGACGGCGCTCCCACACCACCGAGATCGACATTGCCACTGCCAGTCGATCTATCGCGAACAGGACACTGTGGAATATCAGCAACGACCTGCATGATAGTGACCATTATCCAATCCGCATACAGCTTTCCGTAGGCACGGCCCCTCCAACGACTCGGAGACCCAGATGGCGCTACGAGGAAGCCAACTGGGACGCCTTCAGGGAGAAATCCGACGCTCTCCTTCAGCAATGCGATCCGAACGACATCTCCAGCTTCACGGAAGTACTCTACGAAGCTGCAACAGTACCTATCCCAAGGACGGGTAGCGTACCTGGGCGAAAAGCCCTACGTTGGTGGAACGAGGATACCAAATGTGCGGTGAAAGCGCAACGGAAAGCTTTACGCCGGCTTAAACGTCTCACCTTAGACGACCCTGGTAGGGAGGAAGCGCTGAAGTTATACCGTGACGCAAGCGATCTAGCTGAATGGATTTCCTGGATTCAATCGACGAATCCTAATCATCGAGTGAATTGTGGAATCGCGTCAACGCTCTGAGTGACAAGCGGCGGTCTACTCCACCTACTATCCAACCTCATGGCACCTCGATCTCAGAACCGAAGGACATCGCCGAAGAATTAGGAAAATGTTTTGCCGGCCTTTTTTAGCTGTCAGTGGCTACGACAGGGATTTCGTCCAGCGCGTCAAACCTTCCACAAGCAGCATTCGCGACTTGCGAATTCCACCTGATGTTCCTGCTCTCTAGATCAACGAAACTCTTACCCTCCGGAAGCTTCAGTTTGCCCTCGGCAGCAGTAGTGGTAAATCTGCCGGGCCGGACGAGATTGGATACCCGGTTTTAAAAAAAACGGAAAAACGAGGCTACTCGCCCTCTTCAACGATCTATGGCTCACTGACTCGTATCCGGACCTCTGGAAACAAATCTTGGTAATGCCCATTCCGAAGAACAACACGGCGAGCGAAGAAGCCTCCTCCTTTAGGCCGATTGTGCTCACTTGCTGCGCGGCAAAAGTAATGGAGAGAATGGTAAATCGTCGTCTTAGGCAGTTCCTGGAGTCAAACGGCCTCCTTGACGAACGGCAAGGACACGGCTCCTCCACTTACTTTGCAGTCCTCGGGAAATTACTTAAGGTAGCCCAGGACAACGGTCACCATGCGTAGTAAGTCTCCCTTGATATTTCAAAGGCGTTCAACAGGACATGGACACCTGGTGTCATCAGGCAGCTCATCGGCTAGGGCCTAGAAGGTCACATCACACATTTTGTATGGAATTTCCTCCTTGATCGTACCTTTCAGGTGACTGTCGGGAACACTCGCTCGGATCCGTTACCCGAAGAAACTGGAGTGCTCCAGGGATCCGTCATAGCGGTAACGCTATTCCTGGTGGCAATGAACGGGGTATTCAGCCGATTGCCCGCACACAAAAAACAAAAATTGTTGCTATGAAAATAATGCATTTTCTTATTAAAAGTTTCCCAAAATACGTAGTTTTAAGTACGTAACTATTCAAAATGAAAGTTATGCTTTTGATATGAAAGTATTTCTTTCACTTGCAACATGTAATTTTAAAAGTGATTTTTTTAAAAGAAAACTTGTTCAACTGTCAAAACACCTATTACTGAGCCCTCATTTGTCGCCTGCCACCAATGAGATGGATTACCGGGGTGAAGCAATCTGTTAAGTTGTGTGAGTAAAACCACTATATAATAATTGCGTTTACGTTATTTTTAGTTTGCGTAACAACAATATTTTCACCTCTATATACTCATTGGCCTGCATGTCAATTTACGCGCTCGAAACATCGTTGCAAATCTCTAGTTAAAAGTTAGTTACTTTTTGAAAGTTTTGGTTTGGTTTGCAGGAAATATTAGCAATAAATATTAAGGGAAAAACCGTATCCGTTGGTCGACTAGGGTGGAAACGGCATACAGATTTTGTACATGGCACAGAGCGCGCGGTATGCGGAACAATATTGATAGTCGCCGAGTGGGAAGTTGCTGACGATGATGAGTGGCATTTTCATCTGGAATCAGAAAGGGGAATCTATTCTTGGTGAGTTGAGATGGAGTGGGAGAGCTGCGTGTTCGTGTTTTTCTAATTAGTCAATGTGTGAGTTTATTTCAGATTCAGCCAACGAAACTTGAGCTTTAGTCCGGATGGTTATCATAATATTACTCCTACCAAGATTGCGAAGATTGAAAAAAATTCCAAAGCCGTTGAACAAGACCTACATCCTAGCGTACATCTAAACCTCGA